CTGTGGTGTATTTCCTTCTTTTCCTTTTCCCTGTTTGTTTTGCTATTCCCGTGTCTCCTCATCTCTTCTATTGCCTTTTTACCTTTTTGTAGATTTCAAACGCGATACTAATAAGACATTTAAACTGTATCAAAACATGAAAAGGTTAGAACTTACTTGACCAGGCAAGGTAAACGTTAATGTGGCCGAAACAGCCCCACGTATAGCCTTCCGGGTGATAGCGCGAAGCATCTACGTGCTGGATATTAGTGAAAGTACGACTGCCGACTTCGTATAACCTGAAGAGTAGGCATCCAGAGGCAAAATTCGATTCTGTCGTCCATTTTTCGAATAGAAAATTCGGATATCCATCTGCTGCACGTCGAGATCTTCGCAAAACAATTACGTGTGGAACCCATGTCCGTGGTGCTTTGTGAATTTAGTTGCTGGTTCAACCTATGTAGCTGTGATTTTTTAATTTTTCCACTAATCGTTCTGATGACAGATCACGGCAGCTCGATCGTCGTTGACGACGATACCCACCGTGTGTCCCGCAGCGGGGCGAGGGCAGGGACGGCGACTTGCGCTGCATCTACCGCACTCCCTCCTCCTCCTCCCCCACATGGACCCGATGTCAAGACGGAGTCAAGGAGACCGGAGGCGGAAGAGGATACAGGCGGCTGGCACGGCGTAAACCCGCGTCTAGATTTACCATCACACCCCCTGGCCCACAACGTACATTGACTAGGATTTTATACCACAACAAAAATAGGAGGCAGCACGGAGTGCGTCTGCAACTGGGCCTGTCACAAACCCCAAATTTCGACACTTATTGTGGGTGCGCATTCCCGAGAACGCCTGCCGGAATCAGATCTGGCCGCCATGCTGGCCCAACGCATCTACCACGTGGCCCATTCTAGGGGCAAAATGACACATACTGATCGTATAAATGGTAGATGGGTTAATAAGTTCCAGAAAACCCTAGTAAAAGGCAAGCACTGATAAAAAGTTAGGCGGATTCGAACGGAGCTGGCAGTATCATCTGTGATATAATCGACAATCAGCTATTTCTCGGCGTTTTCCCTAGACGAATGGGAGTAATAGAACGCCCCTCTTTCAGCGTTACATACATGATAGTAACTGTAAACATATTATGGATTTTGCAAGAAATGACAGCGACGGGGCGAAATCCTAATGGATATTATTCGTGATAAAGTAGGTTATGGTTGAAAACGGAAACCTTGAATTAAGGTGTGTTTCCGGGGATTTTTAGCCTGGTTCAGTTGCTCCTGTTGTTAACTGAACCTGGCTTACATCTCCAATACCTCCGTCCTAAAGTGGGCGCATGTGCCACTGACGAGGCGAATATGTCAGAAATGGCCATTCCAGTCCCCAGTCTCGTTGTCAGTAATTCACCTTGTCAGTAATGCCCCAATTGTATTGTTTGCGGCTGAACCTATGGACAAAAATCCCTAGCCATTTATTCACAGAAGATTGTCAGTTGATCTCCATTTTGCAGGTATTTGCGTTATTTTGGACTGCCACCTACGAATTGGGGCTGCATCCTTATATGGGATAGAATTAATGGGAAAAGTGTGTCCAAAATCAATTCGCAGATAAAAAGAAATATGCTACCAGCATTTATCAATATTTTCATCACGTCGAGTGGAATCCCGTGTGTCCTTTCTCTACTTATTTCATCTCTATAAGACCTGGCACATCTTAACATCGAATTAATTCTGGATTTGATACCTCCCAGTATTCAACCAGACAGAACAACTATCATTCGAATTAACAGATAGACTTGGACCCTCTGATGCAAACGTCTGAGAAATTTCGGCAAGGACTCAGCATGCGATCCCACTCAGGGAACAAAAAACAGGTCGTCCTGGTATATTGCGTCTTCGCCTTTTACATAACTGACGTTTTCGCGCTCCTATAACTAGATGGAGTGTAATCCACTTCTTTTATGAAAACAAACTGAGAGAACTGCGAAAAATGTTCAATTTCTTTGCACTATCAGACATCGTGACACCCTCATCATTCCTTCGGAATCGGGCTCCTGGCATGCGTGCTCTTTTGTAAGCAGCTGTAAATAAATCTGACGCGAGGACGCAATATGCCGCCTCAACATTTATCCGAATGCTTGCCTACTATCCGCTCTCCTTTCCGCCGTTTAGTCCCACCGATAAAACCCGTATGCCACGGTGACCTGATTTTTGTTCCCTGAGTGGGGTCCCATACTGTGTCCTTGCTGAAATTTCTTCACTAAATACTAGCCAAAGAAACCAGAAATCTTCTGCTGCTACGAATATGGAATCTTTTAAACTCCTCTGGTATGTCATCTTCTTTATATAACAAATATGCGAGCGACTCCATGCAGCTGATAAGGCTGTCTGTCATTCTTCTGAACGGAGTAAATGACATGGTATGCCGTTTACTAATTCATAAGGGTGAAAATTCTACGGAAGCCTACCTGAGGCTTGTATTCCGAAAAAAACAGAAATTACTGACAGAAAATTTCCTCATCCCTCGGTGTACATGCTTTCTCCGAATTTATTTTGGGATCTTATTGTCGTATGAGTGCATGCTAGATTAGTGGCTAGGCCGCCCAAATGCTGATATCTAGTTTGCAAGGGCAACGAGAGCGTGTACGCAGCCAAATGGCGTTAACACCGATGTGATCCACCACGTCGCACGCCGCGCGCGAAGCTAGGCGGCCTCTAGACTAATCACGTTGCAGAACGCTGGAGTGACCTCTGTCCATCCATTGGACGATTTGCCAGTATGATCACGACAACCTCCTTGCTGATAGGCCGTACTCGCATACAGCCACGCCACAAACGAACTCTCATTTATCACTTTCGCCATGACGAGACGTCGCTTGTGCGTCACGCTTATTGGCGTATTGTTATGCCTGATTCTCGTCTTGGGCGTTTGTCTAGCCGTAGCCCTGCCGCTTGTGTTGCGACGCGAAATTACCAAGAGAATTGCACTCAGGAATGGCAGTGAAATATATGCTGCTTGGCTCTCTCCCCCCGATGCAGTCTACATGCAATTTTTCCTCTTTTCCATTACGAATCCACTGGAGTTTATCAGAGGTGACCGGCCAGTTGTTCAACAGCACGGTCCTTTCACATACCATCAGCGCCAGGAGAGGGTGGACGTGTCATTAAACCCCGAAAACGGCACAATCAGCTACAGTGATAGGAAATTTTACGTATTCGACCGAAACCTCTCCGGCGCGGACGAGAACATCACAATAACCACTCTCAACCTAGCCTACATCGCAGTTGCAGAAAAGTCGCAACAGTTCCCAACGATGGTCTCCTTCGTTATGCGCATACTGGAGTTGTATTACAACGAAAACCTCTTCGTGAACAAGACAGCGAGAGAACTGATCTGGGGGTACAAGGACCCAGTATTGGAAATTGTAAAAAAACTGATCCCCATTCAAACTGAGATAGGCATTTTTGTTGGCAAGAACGGGACTGAGGACGGAACGTATGTCATTCGGGACGGTTTCAATAACCCAGAAGAGTTAGGTCAGATTGTGTCCTATCACAATTCGTCTTCCGTTTCTTGTTGGCGCACTGACTGGGCTAACATGATTAATGGATCCGATGGTTCGTTGATACCACCTTTTCGCAGTCAGTACGACAAAATCTATTTGTTTGCGGCCGATGTTTGCAGGTCATTTACCTTCACGGCACAGGGCTCGTCGCTGGTCCGTGAAATTCCCACGATCGTATTCAAGCTGTCTAGGGAGTCGCTCCTTTCGCCTGATTTAAACCCTGACAATGCGGGTTTTTGCATCGACTACCCTAATTGCCCCAAATCTGGTGTTTTAAATATGAGCACCTGCCTTCATGGAGCACCTGTTGTCGTCTCTCTCCCGCACTTTTACCAGGTGAGTAAGACCAAGTTATTCCCACTTTCACAGACTTCTACATTTGAACGTACGTAGCACTTTCTCAACTATCATACTTTTCTTCTTAATTTAACAATCTAGAATGATCAACATAAGAGCTCTGAGACATCGTATGTGCCCTTTTATGCCGACAGGCTTCCTTAAGTAGCGACTAAAATTCGGGGTCTATTCTGAGGTCAATAAGTTTGGCCATCGGCCTCTTTACTACGATTATATCACCGATCAAAGTAATCGTGAATTTTGACCGGTACCCCGTAAGTGGCCACTCCTGATTATTTTAATTAACCAATAGCCATTGGAAAGTGTTGTTCGCACAGATCACAAGCGTTTGCGTATTTGTGGTGTCACATTTTGCTTTAGGTCAGACAGTTCTGAGCAATTTGGAACATTCTTTCTTGCGGCAAAATCTATCAAGAAACACTCGCTAGGACCCATGGAAACTCCATCCCAATTTTCTTCGGCCACTGTGGTAATGTTGAGGTTAGGCTTAAAGTTCATGCTTGCGGCTACTATGAGGGGCTAGATTTAGTGTAATCTGAATGCCGACACCTACTCGTCAAAACGTGACCATAACCCTAAGCCCTCCTCTCCCGTAACAGCATTATGACTGAATTCAAACCCTTTTACGAAGCATATTCCGAGGCCATATATAACTCTAGTCGTAAGCCTCACTGTTTCTATTGGCCAATCATAACCCTTATCTCCTCTATCCGATACTGTTCCACTACGCAATGAAACGTGTCAGCTACGCCTGAACCATGTCCGGTTGCAGCCAGTCATTAAAGATCAAAAATATCGATCGACGTCACAATGTCGACGAGCCAAAAGCCAATTCACAGGCGGCGTAAGCAGTCAACTGTTCGAACGCTGTCGCCACGCCGAGTAGACTGCCACAGGTACACAAATTCGCCAGGGATTTCCTGAAGGTGCTTCTAATCACAAGTTTCACAAGATCGAAATCGTAATAGTATCTACGTCTATGGATTCTTGTTCGGATGGTACGGCCTTTATGCATAGACATGAGGGTGTGTATCATACAGGAAAACAGCCTAGAACAATTTAAATTTCTTCAGAATAAATAGCATGACGTACAGGTCGGATATGCGGGTGAACCCTGCAATGGGAGTTGACAGGCGTGCTATGTAAAAACTGGCATAATCAATAAGGGGCGACTGGTGGTAACCAACACCGAATATCGATCAGGCCTCTGGGAGTGCGTGACAAGGGAGAGAGCGTGGTCGAACCCGTAATCCAATTAATAACATGGCGCCTTTTACATCTATTGCCGTGACCTGTGAGTACGGAGCAAAAGTACTACTTGTACTTGGTACGCCAGTGATCATGTTTGGTCTAGCTGGTCTCGATGATGTCACGTATTGCACCTCTCCACGCGTGACGATCTGCGGCGGCAGATTTGGAAGGCTCTGGACCGAACAAGAGGACTGAAGCTCTGAGGGAATCCACCGACTTTGCGATGCGTGTGGTTACTTTGCCCTTTGTTCCACCCGCAACGTTGGTAATGTAAGGGCCTGTCCGAGGCGGTTGGAAATAGTTCGTCTAATGAGGGCTCGGAGACTAGTTTTTTCCCACTCAACATAGTGTGAGAACATTTATATTGTCGTAGCAAAACTTCTGCATAGGTGTAAAAACATTTCAGTTTTTAATTAAATTCGTATTAATGATCGTACTACCCTTTTACCGAAGTTTGTAAACGTGTCGTACATCACCAAGGGGCAACTAGGTGCTTGCTTTATTTTTCTGGTTATTCTATTTTGCCATTAAATCCATAGAAGTGTCAATCCCTCCCCTAAACATGAGCATCTTCTGAAGGAAAAGGAGGGATTATATTCGGTAGGCAGAACCTGACCACCGCTGTCTTCGGCATCTTCCATCTACAGGGCTCAGTTAGCATTTGTTTTTTTTTAACCCATTCAGTCAAATGTTACGTGTTGCATCGTACAGTGCAACAAATGTAGATGCAGGTGTTCGACAGTTAATTAAATAGCAAGCAGTATCGACATCGTACCCAACTTACAGTAATTCGACTTCTCATGCCTGTTGTGTCCGTCCAGCATACTTGAATGTAGACATAGGCATGTACTTGTCGGAGTCATTGTCCCGCTTGGCTGGTAAATTCCTAGCCAACTCTTGAAACAACAGTTAGTCAGCCAAATATCCACTTCGATCCCAGCTGCGGTCCGTATCTCTGTAGCTGACCTTCCTATGACCAAAGTCGATAATCACGTCATGTTACTGACAAAACAAGGGAGACTGTAATGGCTATTCCTGATTTATTTGCCCTCGACAGCCCGCTATATTTCGCCTCCGGGCGGACATCCGAGATTCGACCAACTGATTCAGGTGCAAAAGTAAGAGACAGGACCAGTGGTTTGCGTATGTCTAGTTGATGATGTCAAACGAGCCACAGACAGCCAACGTATCTTTCTTCGCCTTTGTGGGGGACACCTTCGACTACTGATTGTTTGTCTTAGTGAGACCACCTGCGAGGACTCTGAACCTGGCGCTCAAAAACAAAACAGAAATGCCCATTTCCGCCCTGCACTCAAGGCAGAACAGTGGACACCACTGTCATGACACTTTGGAGTGCTCAATGGGTTTTATTTGTATAGTGAGTCCCAAAATTGTCAATGTAAGACGACTGTGGAACCATTTCCCGTTCCGAATCTTATTTTGCAATTTGATTAGGATCGATCCAACTTATTTGATCCAGAGCCTTATAACTGATTAGCAGCTTTGACCCTCATTTGCTGCGTCCAGAAGGTCCAGTAGATGGGCTAGTGAGTTGCACGTTTCCACGATTAATCAGCCTTGGAACCACTCAAATACGGGCCTTCCGTCGCTGCGGTGACCTACATGTGCACACTTGCGTAAACTGTGGGCTTTAGTGTTGATCATGCTGCAGCCAGCTGGTCAGATATACACACTCCCACGCTGTTTCGTCTTCGTTAGCCGGAGATTGTCAGCAGTGCGCTTGTCAATTCGTGTTTTTTTCGATGGCACACAGCCTGAGTTGTGTCGAACCCCTCATAAAAACATGACTGTAACTCTTACGGCTGGTGTCGGCACCACAGCACACAGAAGTCTGGCGTCAGACTCGCCCAGGTTGCTCGGACAAGTTTTCAGACAATTTTACATTTAATGTGGACATCATTTAAGTATCGACTGACAGACATAAGTCTGTTTATCTGACTGCTAACCATCAGTGGAGGTTGTTCTGCTATCGTTACCCGTGGACGCGTCAGGTAGTCGGTAGTTAGACCGGCAGGCAGTCCCCCTCATCCTACTGTGCCCGTGTCCCTGGATATTGCGGACTTCAACAACCAAAAGAAGATAAAGCCGTAGTACTTTAGTCTGGATTTTTTTATCAGTGACATCAACGAAGCATATGACTGTTGGCGCAGAATGCAGTTTCCGACTTTTGCATCCAGCCACCTCCGTGAGAGGAGTTTGAAAGTTGAACTAACATGCAGAAACGCATGTAGAGCTGGACTACGTTTGACATTGACCTGTCGCAAATACCAACTGTCTCCAACGCATATTTTACTGACTTAGGCGGTACCGATTTACCAAAGATTTGGCTGCGCTGGAACCATTATTACGGCCTCATAGTATGAACGCATAGTCTAACCTAATTTTCAGAAGCCTAGTACGGTCGACGGTGAAAATCTGGAAGTCAAATGGTTATTGCTAGGATCCATGAGACCTCGACTCTGCTGGTCAACGAGGGTGGACAAGACCATTTATGTGGGTGTGAATTATCCGTGGTTTGCCTCAGAAATTGAGCGTACCTAGGTGCGCCAGCACCTGCATGTGGGGTATCAATGTCTGATAACGGCCGGTAAGGCAGAACTAGTCATTAAAGTGTTCCTAATCTTGTTGGTAATGTTTGTCGGTGGGATGATTGCTCGCATTCACACGACAGTCTGGGCGGGCTCTAGACGCGGATCTTAGAACGTGAATACTCGTTTCTCTTCTGCAGTCGGGAGAAATTGGTGAAAATCTCTCACACGTAACTTGACATAATCCTACTGGACTTAAAATTTCCATTACCAAGTGTGCCCGTATCCAACTGTCGGGCGCGTATTCTGGGATTGGGGTGCCGCTGGTTGATGACAACTAAAAATTTCGAGGGGGCCATCGCGTGCCCTAATATTCGTCAGTAGTTCACCTCTATCATTTCTGGCCAGCGGTCTGCTCGTCTAAGAATGGTAGAAAACACTAGGTGCACATGCGGCCGCCAGTGTTAATTGTGTAGATGATAAATCCGAGCTAATGAGAATGCAAAGGTAGTGGTATTTGACAATGTTAAGGGTTTACAGAATATGTAAAATTACACACTCATCAAACTGCTGCAGACTTAGCACGTTAGAAGTGTGGGTCCCTTTGACGAGTTCGACGAGTTCGACCCACGCCAAGTTAAACGTCCTCAGATCACAAGCCAGGGAAACAGGATTAACAGAATGGCAATTGTTGCAGCAGAGGGCGGACAAGCCGGTCGAGTCTCAAATAGAAGCGGAAGTGAGTACCTACGGAGCGAGATGCAGTCGACGGCCACTCACTGGTGGCCACTTATCGATCGGTGTCAAGCTTAGAGTCACGCCTACGGTGGAGGACAACGCACGCGAACGCAGAAAGATGACATGATAAGCGTGTTATGACCCGACCCGGTACTCAAAAATCACACGAAACGTATGCGCACTCGGCTGCTGCCCCTAACACCAACAAGCCAGGGGAAATGTATTAAACGTGCAAGTCATTCTCACTGGAAAAATGACGCACACTTACAACATCCTACGGGGGTTGGCCAGCGTTCAGCCCAATGCACTTCGAGAAAATTCCAGACGAGCTGAGCAACTTCTTGCAGACACAGACCAATCAGGTTCAAGGGGGCCGCCAATGGCGAGACGCCGTCAGCACCCTGACAGCGTGCCAACGGCATGCCAGAGAATGCGTACGTGACTTCCGATCGTCTAGGCGGCTGGATAGATCGTACTGACACTGGAACGGGGGTTTCTCGCCCTGGTTTTGGCACTTGAATGCGTCCAGTAGTAGTTCCGACAGTAGATTTTGGTCCGGACTTGGCACTTCTGTGTGCCTAAACTAATTCCCATGGCGCCTCCAAATGTCTGATTCGACAAGAATCTTGTAGACGACGTAATAACAATTTTGGCGATTACGTTCAACCGTCCAATTTTCTGAATTGCCCCTATAGTTTGTTTGCCAGTACCGTCTCACTCGGATAGACCGATTGTTGCTTTCTCCGTGGTGTCGCTTGTATTACCTTCCCATTGACGTCGGACGGACTGTTTCCCGACCAAAATTCCGCTGTCCTCCCACGGATATCTTTGGAAAAATTACGTCAAGTGGTGTGCGAAGCTTTCTGTGTATCAGTGCCTCTGCAGGCGGGACACCATTTGGAGAAGAATTCCGGCCACTTGCTGTACACGTCGACAGCTATGAGGCAGTTTTGGTCATTTATTGGTCCCGCATAATCAGTGTGTATTCTAGACCACAAGGCCCATGGTAAATCTCATGCCTTCAGCGTGGTCTTTGTTGGCTCCCTTAGTGAGAGGGCGTACTTGGTGCATGAGCGAGTCAGCCATTCCAATTGCTGGTCCATGTGAGGCCAGTGCACATAACTGCGAACGAGAGCCTTCGTGTGGTTGAGTCCCAGGTGCCCGCTGTGAAGCTGGCTCAAGACTTTTGCTTGCTGTTTCTGTGGAACCACGACACTTTCGTAGAACAGGAGGCGGATGTTAACGGCGGAGAGAGAATGTTGTCGTTGGTGAACTGCTGTAGTTATCCAGAAGGTTTTTGGGGCCACTGAGTGCAATGCTACTTAATGATTTGCCTCAACAGTAGATCCTGCCGTGCTGCGTTTCAGGCTTCCCCAAAAGTGACTGTGAATGTACGAATAGGGTCTGTAAACCGGCTATGAACTTCTGACTCAATGGAGACGGACACGTTGACTGTGTGCTCAGGTTCATTATTCGGTGTGTTATAGAGCGAAAAAGTACACCTACCTAGCCGATGCCCGTCGTCGGTTGGTACATTTCTAAGCAGCATAGTCGCCCAGCGCTGAAGACGATTTGCCGAGTACGCGGGAACGCCTTTCACCCACCCGAAATTTGCAAGAAGTTTACAGCCCGTTACAAGGGCGAAATGCCGGCGAAGGTGTTCCTGCCAATCCATTCATAGTTGCACCCCGAAGACGTTAACGAACTTATGGTATGACAAATAGCATTTTCCGTGTTATCGAGAAAAAACGTGTGCAATTACGGCGTCATTTCCATTGTTAAAGACGTCCGCTGAAAAGATTATCTTCAGACCAGGGTTGAATTGCGTGAGTAACAAGTCAGAGCTCAACAACGTTTTCATGTCTTTATTTTTTGGATGATGAAAGCGGCGCACTCCCGGAAGGACTGAGCTGTAATAACTCGTGTGACCGGAAGAGGCAGCGACTAATTTACACTTGTTGGGAATACTGATGGGCGTTCAGAGCAGCATTGAGACGGGGGGGGAAGTCAGCACAGACACCAACGTTGTCGGTGGCTTTCTTAACGGCAACGATTGGCGCAGCCCATGCGGAGTAGTTCACTGGTTGGAGAACACTGGCTGTCTGAAGTCGCTTGAGTTTTTTGGTCAGCTATTATGAGTGCAGTCTAAGACATTAGTTGTTTTGGTCGGAAGACTGGGTTGAGAACAGGAAGTGACTCTTACCTTGATGCAGCAATCAAGGCCGTCTTTAAGAAAGGAGGCGACTTTCTTCTGTAAAGTGGACTCAAGCTTTGCAGCCAACTGATTCGATATGGCAGGACTCTGTCAAGAAAAGTGCAAACTATTGCAAGCACAATTAAATGGCACCTTTAGAAGGCTGAGTTTATCAATTCGGCGGAAGCCAGGTAAATTGAGATTAGGGTGGTTGGTGAAGTAATATGTTTCCTTGAACTGATGGCTATCAAAGGGAACGTCACATTCAAGTCCAACTGTGAGCCGGATAATTCCCGCAGAAGCATTCAGTGCCTTTTTGTGCGATATGATCATCAGAAGCCGGGAAATCATGCGCCAAGTACGCTTGGAGATGAGATTGTCCGAGGCCGTATCTAGTATTGATGTACCATTATTAATAACGATCATCAGGTATTTTCTTTGTGAATCCGACTCTGTTGTAGACGTGGCCAGAATGGAGTGAAACTTTGGACCGAAACTGACTGAAGGGCGTCTGAGACGTCATGCTTCCTCTTGTGATTTGAAAGATTGGTCGGCCGCACAATGATCTTCCATGTGCCCACGCTTGTGACATTTCTGCCAGACGTGCTTGAATAAACGGAAGTGAACGAAATGTCAATTACCACATTGCAGACTTGCGGTTGGTGGTTTTCTGGACTTCGATTCTGGGGGCTAGTATGATGACGATGAAATCATATTGGTGACTGCATGAACATTGATGACGACAAGTGCGTGACTAGGCTGCTCCACAATCGCAGAATCATGCTTAAGACTTTTGAGCCGCTGACACATGGCAATGTCCGTAGGGCGGTGTCAGGGCCTTGTCGAATTTTTCTGAGTAGACAAGTTCTGATTTCAGCCTCGCGAGGTGGTTTAAAAGCGCAAACAAAAATGAGACACTTAAATTTATCTTCTGTCATAGTTCACAGCCTGAACCTTTCCTACTCACGACTGACAATACTGGTGAAAGTCAGAAAATCGTTTGTCCCATTCTTCACCAACTTCAGGCATTGGTATCGAGTGTTGAAAAGTGACGAATTCTCCCCGAATGTCTCTGAGGGTTGCTTGACCGTTTCATCAGATGGGAAGTCACGAGGGTTTTTTTCGACAGAATCATGTCAGTGTACCACGAGTGCCCTTGGAATCCAATTTGCATAATAACAGACGCACGTCCCAAACATCATTGGCGTTGTCAAATTAAGTGTGGGAAATGTCTTCCCAATGTCTGAAACATGTACTGAGTGTCACGTCCGGATCGAGATCATAGATGAGCTGGATAGTACTAGCAGCAACTGCGTCCGCTGACGTGGACTGCTTCCCAAGGGATGCTGGATCACGAAAGCACGAGCTGGACTTTTACATCATCAGCTCGATCATCTTCAGGCAGGCTGCATCGAACTGAGCCTGTTGCCGGTGTATGGTGAACAGTAGGTCTTACGCAGAGACATTGTGAGTACCACGTCGCCATTTATTTATGAACTTACCGAAAGTCTCGCTGGCCCCCCGTCCAACGACTCTCCTTCATCAACCCCACGAACCAAACTGAAAAGCAAGGGCAGAAGAATAGAGTGCATAATGGTGTATTCTAATAGCATACATAATGCGAAAGGTCTGAGGTTAGACCTAAATTTGCCAAATCAGATGGTGTCCTTGAGTGGCTAGTACGTCGGTTGGGCTTATGACTAAACTGACTGGTTAGGTAAACCTCCAATCCTGTCGAGAGCTGGCACGACATTAGCACGCGCACGGCATGTGGGCGGATCGTTTGGGCGGCGTCCCGACAGTTACTGACGCTCCTTATTTATTCACGAAACGTTAGATATGGTGTTTGAAACCGGAAAAGAACAGTTAGCAGTGTTTAGGCGTTGAGAGCATTCAGAGCGTTGCGATCATCAGGCCAAGCACCGAGTTGTAGGAAAAGACAGACGTCACGAGAATGAGGCATTTATTGTAGACGGAACCCTAAGTTGCCCTCGGGCGACAGTGGCCGCTAACGGGGTCAGGACATGCGATGACGGTGTATGCTCGTGCCTGAGAGGGCGAGGGCTAGGTAGAGGCAGCCGCCTAAATAGCTATGCGGGGGAGGCACCAGTGTTGTCCAATGGGTGTGTGCTTCATTCGCCGGGGGAGCGGTGCGTTCAAGTGGCGCACGGGTAGTTGCGACTGTACAGACGCACATGTGCCCGCGCTAGAGCCAGTTGAGTGGCCGCAGGCCAGCGCGTCTGGAACCGCTCGCTGCGAAAGTTGGATGACCTTGATGTAACGGAGCCTTGAACAAGGACGTCAGATATCGCACTGGTGACAGTCAGCAACAATTTCAGCCCGATTTATCTAACACCATAAAATACTAGCCATTGAACGTAGTCATTTGCGTGGCTTTGACTGAGAGAGGAAGGAAACGGTTAATAAACACCGTCCTCAACCAGCACGGAGCGATAGTAAGGAAAATATCCATTTGCATACGAGATTCGGGTTTTCTCCGTATTGCCTCGATCTCAGAGGATCGTAGGCGACGCGTCATACTTGAACTAAAGCGGGCTTTCAACAATCCTGAATCAACAATTTGGCCATTGTTGGCAACTGGTTCTCAGCTTTAAATAGTTCAACCGTCGTACCCGACGACGTTCACCCTGCGCTCCATAGCAAGGTGGAACAGGCACGGTGACATGCGCGTGAATTAGTTTATAATGAGTGCAGACTTGCGTAGCATCTACCACGCCATCTCCTTCCCCCCCCCCCCCCCCCACCTGGACCTGCCAAGACATAATCAAGAAGACCGGAGGCGGAAGAGGGCGCAGGTGAAAACCCACACTTAGGCATACCACCACACCCCTAGTCCAAATAAACACTTGACCAGGAGTTTAACCAACAGCTGAACCACGACGGGTCAGAAAGACGAGGATGATTGTGCAGCCCTGCTCATGATCTGTGCATTTAGCGGGGGCGCAAGCGCATCTACCGGCAAGGAACCAGGTGCCAGAGAACTGCAATGCACGCTAGGCTGTGGGAGCCATGGTTTGCTGATCATGGCATAGCAGATGCCCACATACATTGAACCCCAGATGGGTGACACACACGGCCCTGCATTTGGCCTGGGCCCTCACCCTTCAACGGCTGGGTAACCAGTCAGCCATCGACTAAGGGGCACTACTCACAGAATACACATACACACTCCCCGCATTCGTGAGAGTGCCAGAGGTCATTTTATGAAGGAACCGTGATGGTCTGGCTCTCAGCTCACCAGTCCGCCACTCCACACAAACACACACAACTGGACTGACTGCGTGGACTGAGTTGGGGCGTCAGTCAGTGGCTCTCCAAGCCACGGTGCTTAGTGCACGATGAAATTCTCGGATTCGGATCACACATGCAGCAGCTGAGCCGCATGGAGGGGGAGCCGAGAACACACTTCCCACTCGCGTGGGAGGTAACAAGTAAGTGCTTGCGATGGATGATGTTGTTGTGTGGTGTAGGTGCTGGTGGAGTAATGTTCGATGGTGTGGCGTAGCCGGCAGTTGTCAGCCGTAGTTGTCTGTGAATGCGCATAGGACCTAATATGCTTGTGGGATGGCGGAATGTGCGGGGACAGTTGAGGCCAATGCGACGAGTACAGGTTAGTGCTCCAGGCATTGGTTCGCCAGCCTCTGTGCAATGGACTCGCAAGTGAACGACCAGGCCAATGGGTGAGTTGAATGTACGGGGACAACGTGGGCAGGACAGATCGGCAGTGTCAGAGTCGGTTTCGGTGATGGTGGCGGTGGTGGAGCTGCTGGTGGTGGGCGCGCTGGGCGACGAGGTGGGGTTTGGGCTAGGCATGGTTGGTACGCAAGATGTGCTAGGTACATATGTCGGAACTGCGGTGAATGCCGCACTCGTGGATACGCATGCGACCTAGCAGGCCCACGTGGTGAGTGAATGTGCGGGAGCAGTGTGGACAGTGGAGGCGGATGCGGGAAGTGTATGTGGATATCCCAGGCGCTGGTTCTCTAGTCTCTGTGCGATGGGTTCGCAAGTGACTGACCGAGCCGATGTGTGAGGTGGATGTGTGATCGTAACGTGGACACGTATGGACCGGCTCCACATCGTTGGTTTTGGCGGTGGTGAGGTTGATGTTTTTCGGTGCGTCAGGGTTGTGTACAGTGTTGTTGGGGGGAGGAGCCATCGCAGCAGTTGTTGTGGCTGTGGAGGATGGTAATGGGAGATCAGGAGCGCGATTAGGGTTGATTGTAGACGTGAGGGTTGGAGCAGGGATGGACTGGGAGACATCAGCTGGTGCCGTCCGATGCTGCAGTTGGTTCGAAGATGTCCAATGAGACCGCTTGTTGTCCGGAACGTCTACTGACATCGTGGGCAGGTCGGGGGCGGTTGTAAGTTGGCGTTGCTAGGTGGGGAGAATTAAGATTTGCGAGCTTTACGTTTGGCTTTGGTGGCGGGTAGATCACTGCGCCGGTCTTCACTGTCCTTCTCTAGTCCAGTCGGTCCCGGCCGAGGTTTACCAAGTTCATTGGGTTTATCTGCAGGCGCTTCAGGGAAGTTTTTAGAGTGCTATTGTAGCGCCGGACTGGACCTCCTTGTCGACGGGAACCCGTGGCGACATCTTCATAGAAGAGTCGTCTTGTGGCCGCTTATCGTTCATCTGCACGAGGTGGCAGTTGTCTCAGCATGGCGTGGATGCCGAAGATTCCTGCGCGTCCTAGTAAGTCCGTGTCAGGGATCCGGTCCTGCAACGTCAGCCTAAGTATCGGCCTCCACGCCTGCGTCTTGTACACCGTCTAGGTCTCCGCTTCATACAGCATTGTCGGCAGGATGATCGCTTTGTGCACCTTTCGTTTGGTGTTAAGGTGGAGAACGTGACGATTGCAGACGGTGTTTGGCTTTAAATAGTTCGTTTGACATGCATTCGGCCGGACTAGCCGCTAAGTGCTCTTGTCTGCACCCACTGTATTTGCATCAGCAACTAAACTAATCTCGAAATCTGGCGCTCATTATATTGATGGGGAAAATTAATTAGATCTGCTGATTGGTAGCCTTGATCCTTGGATTTTGCAGCAGATAGCGTAGAGAATAATTGTTGAAATATCATTTTAACTTAGCCGGAAATCCCTAATCTCCCTTCTCATCATAAAGTAGACGACAAAACTACAGTTTCGAAATCCTCCATTCGTGAAGTATGCTCGATACAGCGAATTTCCTACTTCTGCGGAGGCAGCATTCCTGCCCAGTGCCTTTTGCAGTCTCACTTTTGGGGCTGCTGACAAGAACAGGAGTTCTGAGTCGCGGGGGGCTGTCGACGCATAATGTTAAGAAAACTAAAACCCTCATGATTTACCGTTGGACGTCCAAGTCACTGCTCTTCTCCCTTTTGCGCGCTTTAAAATTGCTGCTATTTTACGCCAAGCCGTAGCTCAATCAGGATCCAGGAGGAGCAGCGATCCCCGGCCCTCCGTGCTCTCAGGCCCTGAACTTAGACAAATGGTTCGGTGTGAGCACCGTTGGCAACGATGTTGTCAGCTGCCCTTGTTTTGTGGTCAACATCTATATCCTTTACTTGGAGTCCCATCCTCCAACAACAAAGAATGACGTATTCGGCGTTACCTAGGTTAATTGCATTCATCAGATGACGACGTTAATAGTGGGGTATTCCATTCAGTCACCGGATGCCCGAACTTTTCTGTGCGTGAATTGAAAATAAGCCCTGACTAATTTTAATAGTTTCGGGGCTAAATCAGCGGTTTTGGGGAGTATAAGTTAGTCTACTGTGTCCAACCAACCAGAAAAGTCGTGGAATCAGACTGCTGTCTTCTTTCGAAGCAATTATTGATGGTCTGAGACAGTTTCCGCAGTTAGTATCTGATCTCTGCAACCTTTCTGCCGAAGTGAAAACCGTCCTGCGGTTCCTCCATTCACTTGTTTCTGGAGAAACGAAATCCGTTCAGGAGTTTGACAGGAAAGATTTTCGTGGTCACATAGGTTTACTTGCTGCCTGCTGTGACACCCCGTCTTGTCTCCCTTCCTGGGAAGGGGCAGGTATAGCTTCGTTCTCACGCTGACGACTGGGGACCGTTTCGACCACGATATCATGTTGGGCCATTATCAAGTTTAAGTCGGCCCTCACTGCTCCGCATTCCGACGCGAAGGTATTTGGAAATATAATTGTCTAGAGATTCTGGCGCTTCGCACATAATCCTTCAGATAAAGGCCGATATCCAGTACTTTGATCCAAACTTGCACTAGCCTCGGGCAATACACGAAACTCCAACCATCGGGGTGCCATATCCTTTTGTTTCTCATCCAAATGAGCCATATGAACGTTAACTTATTCTGCAAAAAAGCGTTTTGTAAAATTTTGGCTTAGTTTGTCGACGGCTTGGACGCCTTTGGATGCCTGTTAGCTCCTGCACTCCAATGCGTGTGGCACATGCTATGCTCCCTGCCCCGTATTCCTCGCGCCCATTAAGTGTTCTTCAAGAACTCTACTGACCCGGTATTGGCCTACGAGGATGTAGTCGGTCTTTGCCTTCGTCTTACCGTAGGTTCCCTGCAAGGTCATCAGGTTCCGCCTCGGGTGCTAAGATTTTTTTGTTAACCAGAAGCAAATAATTTTCCTTCTGAAAGTCGAGAAGCCGATCACCATTGACCGACCGATCCTAAACTACTACTACTTTTCCGATGACGGAGTGAATAATTGGCCACTGTCATATTCGCGCGCACTCAAATCCCTTGAACAGTTATGATTTTGTTCGCGAGAATAGATGATTCGTTTTTCTTAACATCTACGCTGGGCGTCGCGGCAGAGACAACAAGTATTTTTACTTGGTTAACTACACCCGTGTGCAGACGAGGCTGGGAGAGAAGTACTCGTGTTGTGAGCACCTTGGAAAGCTTAAACCTTACCCTCTACCAGGTAGGCGCCTCAAGCACCACTCGTTGTCTGTGCTAGGCTTTTGTATTTTCCCAGGAGTAGGTGTATACACTATGAGTAATGTTTTCAGGTCAGGTTTGCATGTTTGGTCCGGAAGTGTATATGAATATTCGAACCGAAATCCATAATCTCGTCTTCTCTTTCTTCTCTGAGGCTGATGAAAGTTATCAAAAAGCGGTCATTGGTCTTCACCCCACTGAGGACATGATCACACGATTGGACGTTGAACCGCATACGGGTATCGTCCTTAGGGCCGAGAAGCAGTTGCAAGTAAACGGTGTAGTCCGACGCAACGATGAATTCCCATCTCTGCGGCACGTACGTGACACCTTCTTCCCTGTCGCTTACTTCAAAGAATCATTTACTGCGCCTGAGGATATCGCCGCCAAGCTGCGCGACTCTCTTTTTGTGCCGCTTCTCACCGCGAAGATAGTGTCCATCTGCCTGATATCCCTTGCCAGCGTTAGCCTTGGCATCCTCTTTCTCGTCTTCCTTTTGCGCCGGCGACCGGCTACCGAGCTAGTTCTAAGCGTTTCCGAACCCAACGACCAGAGGCCCCTGATGTCTGACACAGCCTGAATCGACTCCTCGGATAAGTTACTTACTGTGAAGTATTCTTCTCTTGCCTACTTCTAGACGTTCATATCCCCGCAAATTGTTCCCCTCCTCTGGATTTTTGATTCCTGCAAAACCCGGTGTTCTGATCTCCAAACTGATTTCAGTTTCCCACTTTTCTATAAAACCCACAGTAATTCTACTTTGAATGAAGATCCGTCTTGATTTCATTCTTTTTTTCTAGCACTTTTGTACCAATAAAGTTGATTTTTTGAATTTTTATTCGGACGGAACACCTCAGCTTCTGTCGGGTGTAGTTCGGTATCACCTAGTAGTCTACAGTGCTACACGTGCTTTTCTAGATTACGGCACAGACGGGCTGTGCGGCTGCTGAGCTAGGCCCAGAAGGAGGACTACATCGGTTCATGCTCGTCGGTCAATCAGTTGGCTTGACTGGGATAGATCAGTAGCTCATGACAGAGGGAAGGGGAAATCAGTCTGACTGAAAGCTGACCCAGCGCTCTACTTACATACTAAAAATAATGAAACACGCATCCTAACTATCACGACTCGCTAATAACCGTGGCCTGTGAGGTTGCAAGCGAACCGGAGAACTTGGTCTTTGTCGGGATTGGGACTCAAAATGAAGGTTTTTTTAATGTCTTCTTTACGACGCCCCCATTAATGCAGATCTGAGATCTCCCTCCTCCGTGAAGTCTGTTTCGCATTCATAAAGGGGAAGCTAACGTGTGGTGCGTGCGGCCGTGGCTTCGACCTTGCAAGCCATCGTGCCCACGCCCATCTCCGGTCCACTTGTCTATGTTTTGCCAGCAAAACTTTGCGAATCTTCACCCACTTCCCGTTATTTCGAGGATGCTGGATTGCTACTTAAATTTCGGCAGCAGAAAGAGACAGGCAGTTACAGTCATAACGAACATTTGAAGGACTACTGCTATAGTTCTCCCAGAGGGCTGCTCGGACCAATCAACAGGGTATCTCCTTCAGCACGGCAGCCACTTACCTAATCATTATATGCCTTCTCTTCGACAACCTGATTGGTCGTGGAGGGACTCTTCGACGAATTTTGAGGACATTTATGCAGCTTTCTTGTGTCCGATGTCGGGTTCGGTCCCTATGTGCGTCGGTTGCCTCCCACCGCCAACTCCAACGCCGAAGCTCTCGGACTTCTAGATATCCAGCAATTCAGGTGCGCCACGTAACATCTGCCAATCGAATGGGGTTGGCCTGTTGCGAGTCTTTCGGCTTGCGTCCGCCCTGCTCCAGGCGATAAAGCGAGATTTCGGCGTCCGTGTTCGCGAAACTAAACGTTCTGGTTTGTTGATGAAACAAAGAGGTTTTGGGCGTTCTACCGAGGACCTATTGCAGCTTGACTGCCTTAGATTTTGTGGACTTTGGGCATTCGTGGTAGAGTGGCTTTTGTGGTCAAAGTGTGAAAAAAATTGCAGTCCTATTTTCATAAGCCTGTGAGTTGGATCATGCTGGCTTCATGTTTCTGGTGAGGCCACGACATATCATACGACTGTGACGGACGACCTCCTATTGGATGATAAACCACATGCACTATTTTCTATTGATCTAGCTTGAAGCACTTTTAGTTCCCAAGTTGCTAGTCAGGTGTTCTGTTCTGAGTTACTGGCGTGGGACGTGACTAATTATTCTAAAGATCCAGAATCTCGCAGACTCCAAAACAATCCCTACCTAAAGGCCTTTCACCAGCAGTCCAACCAGGGATCGTAGGGCTGAGGTCAGATATGTAAACTGCCTCTTGTAAAATGCTACGAAGCCTGATGAAGACACTGACATAGAGACCGTGAACCGCCATCAAATGATTTTGCTTGCTGCCATTGCCTTGTAGTTAGGTTCTTGAGTCAAAGCGTTAGAGAAGACAACCTCAACAAAAGGAATCAGAGGCTGTTGAGAGCTTGCCTATATTCAAAAGTCCCAAGAAACCCCATGAAATGTCTGATTCAATTCATTATTGGAATCCATTCAATGGCATCTTTTGGAACCGGCGAGTTCCGTAAGCCTGTCCAGTGGTGTTGAATATTACGTGATCTGGGCTACCCAGTCAGGAACGAAGCCCTAGTATTGGATGCTGGAATGCGCTAACATCCAGTGACTCTGGTAGCCAACATCTGAAGGTGCACAGTCTTCATCATTACAACATGATGCCTGCTGCCTGTCGGAAGTCCGAAGTCCCCACGACTCAGGCTCTCGGCAAGTCAGGATCCCGGGGGGAGGGGAGGGGGGGGGACTCAGCTTCTACTTTACCGTGTACATAGTCTCCCAGACGATTTCTGGTAGACAAGATGTTGCAAGTTCCCTCTCGAAGCAAGCGAAGCGTGTTCCGCTTGTGTGGGAACCGGCCAATAACGCGACCAATACACACAACTGAAGGGTCACTTTACGGACATCTCTGTCGTCCCCGCGTACGCGCATACGTCAGCTGCGATCAGTGCGATAGAGGAACCTACTTACTGTTGCAAAAGTTAATTTTAAAAACTAGCTAGCCGTGATCTGTAATTATTTTATCGGGATTGAAATAACTCGGCTAGCCCGGGCGACATTTCAAATAGTCACCTTATTGGCCGCTTTGAGAATGGTTCTCGATGCAACAATGGCGAGAGAATGCTGAACTTTGCCAATCACGACCGAATTTTTGCCACAAACATGTGATTTTAGTGTCGCCACAAACACCGGTCGACCTGGTATTCAAAAGACAACCACATGGCCAGTCCGAACCGACCACACTCGAGTCAGTTCCAGTTTGCGCAGCTGGGCCCACGTTAGCAGATCGATGCGTTGTGCCGGAATTGGCGACGCCATCGCGTCAGACCATGTTTTCACTCACACACGCCTGAGAGTTTATCTCTCATCCTCACACAACTTTTCGCGTTCATGTCGCCTTGATGTCACAAAACTACGACGGCCGAACGCAGTCGAGGCCCCGAGCATAGAAATCTGGTCCTGCTTTGCGACCCAAGTCGAAGAAGTTAGTAGCCAATGGTCACCAAAGTTATCAGTCTATGAGATAATTGAGGGAAGATCGTCGATCGGTCTGGCAACGCAGCAGTGGTTAGACCAGTAGACTAACCCCACTTGTCTGTCCAGATGGCTCATGCTAGATCCCGCAATGATGACTCTTCCGCCAACTCTGAAAAACGACGGAAAAGTCGACTAGAGATTGCCGCGGTTACTGCTGGACTGAAACAGCGATTCTTGTGGACCAGACGTCAAATGTCAATAACTTTCGAAAATCACCTTATCATTGGCCAATTTTCTTATAGGCCCTCGGTACCGAGTAACTAAATGACGTGGAATGCGGCCTCAAGGACTACAAAAAGACCGAGGTCGTGCGCTGGTGTGAGAACTTCGAGTAACTTTTCGACTTCGAGGACCGACCCATCACGTCCTCACCCTCCTCTACATCAGAATCTTATCCCTATCCAGCCTATGCAATCTTATAGAACCCTCCTTATCGGGCAGAAATAATCGAGGCAGTACGTAGGTCGCATAATAGGAAGACGCCAGGGGTGGATAGTATTGTCACTGAACTCCACAAGTCTTTTGTCGACACTGGCTCCATAAGCTGACTGAGCAAGCTTGGGAAGATGAGGTCGTTGTTGGTTACTGAAATGCTAGGGGGTGAGACAAAGTGCGGGAACGACCGCGGCGTAAGTCTTATAGGGGTCTCGGCGAAGGTCATTATTGTTATTATTCTCAGGCCGTTTCAGAGTTTGTGCGCATTGAGGATGAAACACAACCGGCCGGGTTTCGAGCTGGGAGTGACTGTGCGAATCAGATATTCATTCTGCGACACATTCTTCAGTTCCGCCATGGTTGCCGACAGCTAACCATCGTCTGCTTTTTTGATCTCGCCTAATCACCTGATGCTGTCCATCTATGGCGGTTAATGTGACTAAATGGCATGTCGGCAAAAGTAATCGCCATGATCCTGGCTTACTATCGCTCCATCACTGGTTCGAACCATTTCTCTCAATCATTCGCTACTCAGTCTATCGTTCGACAAGTGTGCAACACGTCGCCTATCCTGTTCAACTACGCCATTTACCGGATTCTCGGAAGTACTCCACACAGTTTTGACCGTGTTGAGTCTGCAACTGAGCACCGGTTGGCTAATCTTGACTATACTGACAATATTGTTCTTCTAATCACAAGCTTTGATGACTTACAATCTGTGATGTAAGGAGGAAGAAGACTGGTCGAGCACCGAACTTTTTGTTTATTTGTCCGAGCCTTCGAATTCGTGCAGAAGAACATCGTCAGAGATAAAAAGGGCAACGGAACAGGCGACAGTTATAGAAATTGTTTTGCAATCAACGATCACTGATTCAGACGTGGAAGTGGTTGCGAAAGTCTCTGTATACCAGCACAAAATCGATACATCGATCGATTGAGTTCTCATTCGAAGCCCGGGCCTCAATCAGTTCCCGGCCCGTCTTGGTTCTGGTGTGAGCGATTATCTTGGCGGCTGTGATATCAAGCTCGTGACCCGTTTGGAAGGTGTGGCCAGCCATTTGTGGTAATTCGTCACCCCATCGCACAGTCAGCCTGTGGTGTAAAGGTTGAATGAAGTCGCTAAATTGGTTGGTCTATCCGTAAGCGCTGAGAAGACCAAGGTGTTTTCGAACCGTATCCCTAACCAAGAGTGGGTGTGCCTCGGGATTAATGGCTGTTGGCTTGATGTAGTTTATAGCTTCAAATAACTGTAGGCGAGACTTCCGCCGATTGGGCGGAATATGGACGACATGGTCTCCGAAATCAATGATGCTCGCAGGGCTTTCTCAATCCTTAGAAAATGCCAAATGGACCCGACCCGACATCTTCATTGCGATGAAGACCCTTGTGTATCGTGAGTCCATCCGGCCAGTTCTCATCTACGGTTCTGAATGCTGGGTTTTTGCTCGTGGAAGATGAATGAAAACTTAAGGTACTTGACCACCGCTGCCTGTGGACTATCCTTTGAGTAAAGTACACCAACT